GGAGGAGGAGGAGGAGGAGGAGGAGGAGGGGGATCGCGCCGCATCGCCGATGCATCGGCGACTCGGTCCGACCCGCAGCCCGATTTTGTCTCATTCCGTCGCCGCACATGCAGCTCAGATGCATTGGGGATGCGGTGTGATCCTGCGACCCCATCCTTCTCCAGCCCTTTTCAGGAGGCCTCCAATTGCGGCGGGCATCCCAGGTGAGCGCCCTCCAGCCAGCTCGTAGCCTGGGCCCTGGCTTCGCAGCGGCGGGCTGACAGACGCTGCGCGCATGGCGGGCCTGCTGAACCGCCTCGCCGGCTTCGTCGTCCGAAAGGCGCGCCCCGCCCTCGGTGCACTGCGCATGAGAGCAGCAGAGTACTTACGCGAGGATTAGGTATGAGGTGGGAGGAAGAGGAGGAGGAGAAGGATTGTGGTACTGGTGATGGTCACGATGAGCATGAATATGGTGATACTGATGATGACGCACGCTGCTGCTGCTGATGCTTCTGAGGATGCTAATGACAATGATGATGATAACTGCAATGATGATGCTGATGATGACGATTATGATGACGATGCTGATGATGAACAATATGATTATTATCTTGGTGATGATGATGATGATGATGATGATGCTGATGCTGATGCTGATGATGATGATGATGCTGATGATGATGATGATAGTGATGATGCTGAGGTTGATTTAGTCAGGCCTCCGCCATGACTGAGCCTCACTCAGCCTCGCTTTCTAAGTTTTACTATAGCTATTCTGGCTATGGTCGCAAAGAGGTGCGTCGGCCCGCCCGCCCGCGCGTTCGCCGCCCGGCCGGCCTTCCTCTGGGTACTGTGACCCTAACCGTAGCTAAGCGGCACAGTACAACGCAGCGCCATGGCCACAAGGAGTACGTCACCGGTACATCGCTTGGATCGGAATGTGAAAGTACTGCAAGAAGAAAACCATCGCGAAAAACAGTTACACGCTTTGCCGTTTAATCGGGCTGCGAAAGCCCCCTTCAAGACGGAGAACTGGCAAAACATTGGTTATCACCTGAAAGCTCTATCGTCGATGAAAGTGACGCCATCAGAGAAGGACATTCTGTTTCTACCTTTAAAGGATGATGTTCGAATAGAAGACTACCGTCGCCACGGCTTGGGCGTGAACGTTCTGGAGCTGCTTCAACCGACGATGTCGGGGAACCAAGTCGCCGTCCTCGTTCCAAGATAAGCTGGAATCTGTCCTACGACGATGAGCATCGCCCGGACACCCCGAAGGCCAAAGACGTCGGGGTTCAAGACACGGGGGTCAATGCAAACGGGGGTCAGCCAGGGCACTGGATCCTGCAGGATCTTGCGAGGACTCCCTCTTGGCTGACCCGGGCTAGCGAGCCGCTCGTGGCCGCGAGGCGGCCGCGCATACCGGCTGACCCAGGCCTGCGAAGACTTGCGCTGCAGTTCCCTCCTGCGTTGCAGTTTTTTGGTTTCCTGCTGGCCCGGGTCTGGCTTGACCCCGGTCAGAAGACCCCCGGATACGACAATAACCTTGACTTGTGCGAGGGCGGCGAGCAGATGCCGATGCTAATTGCTGGTCGCCCGAACGCTCCGACTGACCTTTCGGGCGGTGAACAGTACGTGGAGTCTTATTCGTCAGAGGAGAATTCCCCCCGTAAATCGACGCCGAGACCGATTGCCTACGATGGCGTTCGCCTGCCTCAGAGAAGGGGAAGACGAGGCCTATGGCATCGGATCTCCTGCTCCGCTGGCCGACCATCTGCCTCCTGCACAGGTGCCCCTCGTCTATGGCGATGAGTCTGCGATTCCCTCCGATCGCTCGCTGGAACGGGGTTTCGAGGAAATCGTGGGGGATCAGCCCGTGGGCAGCCTGGGTGGGGCAACCAGCGAGGGAAGGCGAGAGACGGTCGGTCAGCCTTTCAGTGACGTCACTGCTCGGTAAGCGGATGAGATCCGACGGCGCTCCCGAGGACGGGCCTGTGCCCGTTTCGGGGGGGGGCCTGGTCCAGGTAACTCTGCGCCTGGGCGCCCCCCCGCATCCTGTCCAGCTTGGCCGTGGATCATCGGCCACGATGCCCGAGATGCCTGACCCCCGGACCCGATGTCCCCGTGAGAGGAGTACGGGGAGGGGTAGACCTAGAGCCCCGAGGCCGCGTTCGGAAGCGTCCGACTTATCTAACTTATCGGGTCGGTCGAATGCGTTCAGCATGCGTATCGAGGCAAAGTTTGCCCATTTTGGGTCGGTATGTACGGCGGTTTCGAGTCTCGGCGCCCTGGTGCGTCGGGCCAATGCAAGAAGCCAGGCTGTCGTGGGTGCTCCGATCTATGTGATCTCTGCAACCTGAACTTCCCATGCCCGATTTGCCACGCCCCTACATCGCGCCCATGCATCGCATGACTGTGCAGGTTTGCGCGTGAACGACTGGCGTAAAGCCGAGGAGAAGCGGAGGCTCGAGATCATGGGTGCCAGGAGGAGAGACTTAGTTGAGGTGCGCGAACAGCTTCCACAGGCAGTGTTAAAGCAATGTGCTGCCGCTTCACTTCAGCTGGAGCGAGACCAGGAAGCTATGGCGTGCGCCGTGAGGTTTCTTGCGGATCGCCAGCTGGCGGTGGCAGCCGAGCCGGCTTTGGCGACGACGACGGAGATGAGAGATCTCGCCAATAGGCTGGAAGGAACTGCTGGGTCTGAACGCCATGCGCAACTTCGGGAGAAATGCCTCGCCGAAGAAGCCGCGCGCGTCGTCTGGGGGGCCGGCGAAGCTCAGCGCGCGACTATGTCGCCAGCGGCCCGGGAGCTGCGGAAGCAGGAGATCGGAATGCGCAGTCGAGCAGTCCGAGGCAGTCCGCATCGTTGCAAGTGATAGCTGTGCTTGTTCTGCAGCTGAAGTACCACGCGCCCGGGAAGAGATGCAGCTTGTCGAGCGCGCGCTGAGGAGAAGGTCATCGCCGGCGCTAGCGAGGCAGGGCAAAAGGTCGAACGGGCCATGACGAGCCGGGAAGCCGAACGGGACAGGCTGTGCCGCAAGTTACGCGGTCATCGAATATTGTGGCGTCATCAGGGGCCGGGTCGACTGCGGATCCAGATGCAGTTGCTGCGCGGGCGCCTGCGCCGCGGCGCCGCCCGCGCCTGGAAGACCTGCTTCGCCGGGGAGCGCAGTGCGTCATTCTTGCGCGGGCGCGCTGTGGTGCTTCTTATGCCCTAAGGTAGCAGCTCGCGACTGCACTTCGTGCAATCGGGGCGTCTGCGATGCTCGCATTGTCCCAGGGCACGAGACGCGCGCGCGCTGCGACGGTGAAGAGACGACGTGGAGAGCCGGTGCAACGGAGGAAACGCTCCAAAGAGGAGAAAGTGAGGAGCGCGAGGCTAGAGAGTAGCTTGAGGAACGGAACGCCGCTGCCACCTTCGCCTGGGAGGCACGCTGCCAGATCCGGGGGGCTTGTCGAGCATCTTCAAGCATGAAATCTGGAAGGATAAGGCATTTCCCCCGACGAAGGCGCCAGCGCCGAAACATCCAGGGTCAGGTCCTCCAGGCGATGGCGGCGTAGATGGTGACGGCGACGATGGGGTTGATGAGGGCTACTATCTTGAAGACGCAGAATGCCCAGCGCCCGATGGAGGGGTGGATAGCGATTCTGACCGCTGGCGCCGGCGTGGTGGAGGGCCGCCTGGTGGCGACCCGCCCGGAGGCGGCGGTGGCGGTGGAATTCGCGTTCCCTTGATGGACGCGGCCCCTGTCACCGCGCAGTGCTGGAATGAGTCCCCGACGCCGCCTTTTCTGAGCGACGGCAGCGCAATGTGGCCAGGGCTGTGTCAGCAGCGTCACCCAACTGCGAGAAAGCCGCCAGTTGGGTAGCTTGCGCGTTCGTTCTCACGGGCGTCAATGCAAACGGGTTGGGGGTATCAGGCCATTTTGCCCAGTTCGACCTAATGTTTGCAGCGGGCCTCAAGGCAAAGGCCAACGGTATAGTCACGGACAGACAGTCCTCATTTCAGCTCCGTCAGCTTGCGAGCGAGACAAAAGGGTTGACATCTCTGCGCGAGCCGCCAGGAACATGATGACGGGTCGTGAGATTCTGCGCGTCGTTGCCGTCCACGTGATCACCCGTCAGGGCCGCGGTCAGGCGTGCACGTGCGCGGACCTTATGGAGATTAAGATCCGTGGTGCGGGCAAGGAGGCAGCTAGTGACCTATTCCACTTCTATGACGGCTGGGTGAGGGCGCCCAGCGAGATGGACATGATCGAGTTTTTTTCGCCCCGCTATGCAGGGGCATTTCTTTCGACAGATGCAGACGAGTCCTTGCGTGCAATGCGCACTGGTGATCCATGTTAATTGCTGACGCGAGTGCGGTGCTGGGGCGAAGACTCACGAGTGGTTGCTACCGAAGGGAAGTGATTTCACGCGCGAGGGGCGCGGGCAGATCAACCGGGAGAAGCAGCGGATAACACTGAACGCCCGTGACCTTCCCTTCCTATGGGGGGCGCGGGGGGCGGCGGAGGGGGCGCAAGTGCCGGCGAGGGCGGGCAGAATCTCTACATGGAAGATGGTCGCCTCAAGAAGTCGGTTCCCTGCAACAAGTTCTTTCGAGGCGAGTGTCCATGGTCCCGAACTCAATGGCAATGCCTGCGCCCGAAGGGAAGTGGTGGCCCCGCCGCTCCCGCGCAGGCCGCGCCTGCTCAGGCTGGCACGGATGGCGGCTGAAGCAGTGGGAAGAAACCAGAATGCAGAGAACGGAGGCGGAAAAAGGGGGGGGGGGCAGAGCTTGGCAGGGGCGAGGGGCGCCCCGCTGACCGATCCAAGGGCGGCGGCAAAGACCAGGGCCGATCGCAGATCCGCACTTGCAGCGTCAACTCCAAGAAGAATTCGCTGTGCTATGCATTCAGCCGTGGTTCCTGCCCTCTGTCGTCGGAGAGGCGTCCTCGCGAACGCAGGCAAGCTACGAGGGGAGAGAAGCTCTCTCGTGACCAGTCCGAGGCGCGCGTGGGCAAGATCGGCGAAGCTCATGCCTGCGCGCGTAGCCGGGGCCAGATGTCCGCTGCGGCGCAGCGCGCCAGGAAGAACGCTACACCCGCTCAAAACAACGACAAGGACAAGTCGAATGGGGGGCGGCAAGGCCAAGGAGAAACGACAATGCTGGAGGCGCCTGTCCGGGCAGACCTGCCCATTCGGGAGGGACTGTTGGGGCAGGGCCAACGCCTCCTGGCATCCGCGACCTGGACGGCCGGCGCCCGGTGACTGTGTCACCGGCGCCGTTCTGGAGAGGTCCAGGGCGGAAAGCTACTGCGTTGCCCCGAGGGTGGGAGTGCCGATATGCGCCGCCCCCGC